CTACTCATCATCATAATCATCATAATCATCATAATCATCACTATCATCATTACTTCGACCACCACCATCACCGCCACCACCATTACCATCTTCTTCATCATCATCATCATCTTCTTCTTCTTCTTCTTCTTCATCTTCATCATCATCTTCATCTTCATCTTCATCTTCATCATCGTCATCATCATCATCATCATCATCAGCAGCAGCAGCAGCAGCAGCAGCAGCAGCAGCAGCAGCAGCAGCAACGTCCGTCATCATCTCCATTGATCCTCGTTTTCTCCTACCTTAGCTCTCCTCTCACCTCAAACTCCTCCCCATTTCCAAATCAGACCCTCCTTCCCTCCCTCGTCTCCTCCCTTAACCCACCCACCTCCAGGGTTCCTGCAGATCACCGTCAACTCGCAAGCTCCCTTCGCCTTCTTCGGAGTAGACAGAGACGTTGTTCCCTTCTACTGTACCAAAACACCCGGCGACTCCATCCGGCTGCTCAACGTCACTCAGGGTCTCCTGCAAGTGAGTCGCCCTAACAAGTCTCAACCCTTCTCACCTGCTGCAGATACCCATGAGCCTCCGCAACGATGTGATCGCGAGATGGAGCATCAAGCGCTGTGTTGTGCAGGAGAAGGGCAGCAACGAGTGAGCGGAGGTGCTGCAACTTGCGCAGACTGATGGGATGCGGCAGGTCCAAGAGCTATGAGTTCTGGCCAGGGGGGAGGATCAAGATGGATGTGGAGGAGGAGGAAGCGGAGCTGGAGAAGATCTTTGAAGACATGGCAGATGACAAAGTGCTGGAGGATTTCGAGAACGCCTTCGCCGAGTACAACAAGGAGATCAAGATTCCGGTCCCATGAAGAGAAGTCAAGTTAGAGATAGAGAGAAGGAGCGGAGATAAGGAGCGGAGTGGAGACCAGGCAAGAGCGGAAGAGAGGAGAGGAGAGGAGAGGAGAGGAGAGGCAGGCAAACGAGCGGGAGGGCAAGAAAGGAAAAGAAACGGCATGATCTCTTTTTCCCTCCCTTGTACTTCTCCTCCTCCTCTTTTTCTCCTCCTACTAAGATCTTCCAAAGTTGAATCCCGCTGGCTTCTCGCCCACGTCCAGCATTTCCTCCGCACCCGTCGCTGCCCACTCTATCCAAATGGTCAACGCCTCCTCCTCCTCATAATCATCATCATCACCACCACCACCACCACCACCACCACCACAACCACCACCATCCTCACCGGAATCCCCCCAACGCAGTTGGCGCTCCTGGATCGAAACCTTGCTCAGGTAAGCCGCGTTCGCGCTGATGTCTTCGTCCGCCTGCCGCAACTTCTCGTTCAATTCCATGGCCACCTGCACTGCTCGTCAGAATTTCTCTTCCTCTGCTTCTCTCAACGCCCTCCGATCCCCCCCCTCCTCTTCCCCTGTCATCGCCTTCCCCCCTTTTCGTTCTCCTCCCCTTTCCCTCCTACTTCAATCTGCTTGCTCAGTCTGAGGAGCAGCTGCTGCGACGTCGCCTTGTCCGGCTCGGTGTCAAAGGACACCATGCCCTTCTCCTCGTCGATGGTGGCCACGATCTGCTCCCGCTCGATCATCCGCAGAACCTTTACGACAACAAGCGAGTCAAGTCAGCGACTTGACAAGATGCGGCGGCTGCGCTCACTTGACTCCTCGCGCTCTCGGCATCGGGGAGTTTCACTTCTTGCGCAATGTCCGTCAATGACAGGGTGACGAATGTCTAGGAGGTGTCAGACGACTCAAAGCAGTAGGAGGAGGAGCAGGAGCAGGAGGAGGAGAAGGAGGAGCAGGAGCAGGAGCAGGAGCAGGAGCAGGAGCAAGAGCAAGAGCAGGAGGAGGGAAGAGAGGGGAGGAGGGATTTCTTCACCTCTGTCAGCCGCTGGATGCTCCTCGAGCACATGGAGTCGATCATCTGATGGCACAAGGGGGATCAGCGGGGCAAACGTCGACTGCTCCCAGTGACCTGCATAGCAAGTCCGAGGTTCTGATTCTTCGTCAGCAAGTTCTTGTGCTTCTCTACACAATTCTGGCGGAGACATTCATCATCAGCAACAGACGTGAGAGGACGATAGAACTTGTACCCGCAACTCATCCAGCTTGTTCGCAGAGCATGCGTTTGCAATCTCGTTGTATTCCGCGCAGCAGTTCTTGATCAGCCGCTGGTGGCACAGTCAGATGGTTCAGTGCTAACGATTTGAAACTCACCTGCACGATGTTGGTGGAATACTTCGGAAGAGACTGCAAAGAGTTTTCCAGATCACTCCAACGAAGAATGACAGCCGTCAGCCTCTCACCTGAACCTCTCCGTGGACAATCAGAGAGACGAGCACATACTTCTTGTACGTCTCAACCAAGATTTCATTGAGTGCTGAACAAGCGTCAGATGACTGTGAGTAAGATCAACTGACAACCGTGGCAAGGCATCGTGAAAGCGAGCTGGAACATGTCTAGGGCCTTGTTGTAGTCTTTCAACGCCGTGTAAAGCATCCCTCCATAGTAGTAGTAGAGCAGAAAGTCCCTGGGCTGGGTTGGAAAGTGAGCAGAACCTGAAGCAAATTCTACATCCATCGTTCACCTGGACGCAGTCTTTCGTGACATACAAGATTCTCTGGCTCACAATGGGCAGAGCAGGCTGGAAATGCAAACTCATGAACTCGATCGACGCAGCTCTGCACCATACCTTGAAGACCTTAGCCACAAGGCAGAGCTGCAACAAGTCGGCATGGATCGATGTGAGGTGCTCAGGGCTCGGCCTCACTTTGCTGATACCAACGCACAGCGGAGTGATGCCGAACATCGCTCTAGACGCACTTCATCGAAAGTCAGAGATCACTGTAAGATGAAACTGCAATTCTACCTCTCTCGGCAAATCTCGGTGAATATCCTACAAACTTCACAAAACTTGCTCCTCACAAACTTCAGCTGCTCCGGGTTGCCAGAAACGCACAGATCCCGGACTTGCTGGATGAACATCTCGTCGCTGCTACTTCTTTCTGCATCCTTCGTCTTGCAGTAACTGCCAACAAACAGTCACACCCTGAGCACGCAACACGGAACTCACAGCAGGTAAACGCATCCTATCCCATGGCTCTCAGGGTTCAGCTGTCCATAGATCTCGTCAATGGCAAGCCTGCTCTGACAAAGAAAATCCAAGTTGTTGTCCAGTTGCTGGACAAGAGATCGCCAATCATCTTGTTTGCCGCTCAGGCCTTGGATCCGATGGATAATTCCCTCCATGCTTCGCTTTCCCTGACGATATCTCCCTGATATTCAATTCCTGCCTGCAGGAAAGTATCAAAGGAAGAAAGATATCCTGCAAGCAGAAAACTTCTGATTAAAACAGATAGAAGCGTCACGCTGTTCTGGTACCGAAAAGTGCTAGAGCACAGAAATGCAATCGACCAGCGATAGAGCAGAAAAGGAACAAATTTTGCTCAGAATAGCGCAAGCGTTATAGATGACAAATAGAGAGATGATGAGGGCTTGACACTTCCAGGGGCAGCATAACACGAGCAGGACAAGGAACAGTCTCACGAGGATCCTTCCAACATCGAAGTGATTCAGTGAGGTGGAAGCGGGATCAAGAGCACGGCAAGAAGGAGAGAGAGGGGGAGAGGAGCGGGCAAGTGACAGAGCATGCCATCTGATGCGAGGAGAGAGCCAGTCGTTCAACGAGCCAACATGGCTGACGCTCTCCTGCTCCCTGCATGACTGGCGGCTCGCATCTTCCTCCACAGACGGTTACAATAGCCGTTTCTAGTCGTTACGAAATCCTCAATTTCGTAACTGATCACTCATCATCCGGCTGTGCCGCGGCACGGTGTACGGTCACCGTGTCACTGAGTGACGCGGCCCGGCCGGACGCCATCATGTCCTCTATCAGCTAATAGAGTCACTGTCACCGGGACTCCGGAGCCCCGGGTCCGGGGGACTCAGTGACCGTGTACGGTTGTGGCAATTGGCCCGTGCCAGACCCGCTCACTGAGTGACGGTGCCACCCTATTACTGTGATTCCCCCCGCTCAGTGGCCCCCGCTGCCCCCGGGTCGCACCCTTCCCTCTTCCCCCTTCCCGGGCCTGGCGGCCCGGCGGACTATGACGGCGCGGCCGCGCCGGGCCCGCGCCGGGCGCCGGGTCCACTCAGTGAGGCTCGGCACTGCGGTCACGGTGATTGACCTTGTCAAAGGTCACTACTGACTGTCCGTGTTCGTCTTCGTGTTGTGATGGCGAGAGAGGCTGACGGGGCAGAGGAGGAGGATCGCATTCGAATGCAGCTTCCTTCTCTCTACAGACTGGCCTTGCGGATGCTCGCCATGGCAGGTGTTCTCATGCTGGCTGTTGGGATGATGGAGTCTATGAAGTCCAAGTTCGATGGCAGGTGAGCTTGACTGTGTTCTAGGGGAAGGTGTGGCCCGTGTGGGAGCTAGCAGCAGTTATGATACGAATGGTTTGATCAGGAGCAGGGAGGTCATCATGGCTGCAAAAGGCAATGACATGTCTAGCGTCTATCGAGGTCCACTCCCTTCATGGATCCACGAACATCGCTTTCTCCTCTTCTTCGGTGCTTCCGCTGTTATTGGGATGATGATGTCTTTCACGGTATTGCTCTCCCCTCCCCTCGCAGACCTGCAATGTCTGATCCGCATAGCAGAAGCAGTGTCTGATCAGACGCAGGCTCAGACGACTCGATTACATCCGCCCGGGATGCGGCGTTAAATTCCAGAGCACGAGGGGAACGTGGGTAAGTTGCCAGCCGTCCTTGCGTTGCCCGCCTGGAGGTTTACTTCCCATCGACGGCACCAGATGGTTTCACAAGTCTCGAGTGAAGGCGCTCTCAAGGGAGGTGTAGCGGAAGGTGACCTCCTGCTGGATGTTGATGGAATGGATGTTCGCAATCGGCGGATGATATCCAAGTACCTCCGCGGTGCGCCGTGGTGAGGCTCCTATGGCAGACGTGCGCATGGTCATCCTGATGATGGAGCAGGAGCAAGGTCAGGTTGAGACTCAAGAGGAGCACGACTGGGGAAATCTACGATGCTTTGTTGGATAGGGTGCCAAAGCAGGTAGCTCATTGTGTTCAGCTTGGAGGTATGTATGTTTCTTCGCAAAGCTGATTCTTTGTCAGGATCCGAAAGATTCAAAGTCCGAGAAGAAAAACCAATAGACAATTCATGTAGGGCAGAGCGAAAGGCGAACTTGGCAGTATGTGTAGTTATGTAGATTTTGATTTTTACGTGGTGGTAGCCTGTGGTGATGATGCGATCAAACCAGTGAAAAACGCGATCGACAAGTGTACTGGCATGTTTATCATCCGATTGCGAGTCACTGACGGACAGATTCAACGGTCAAATTAGTCGATCATCGGATGGCCCTGGCACTCGGACCGAGGCGCCGGGGCACGCCGGCCCGGGTGACCGTCGGACGGGTCAGACTCTCCGGAGTCCGGTGCCACGGTGGACTCTCTCTCGTAGTAACTATTTTGTAACAGTCAAAATTCCTCGGATGAATCGTCGCTCAACGGTTCAATGACTACCCCGTCCACCTACTCCACCCCACCCCCTCGTGACCCTTTTGTATCTTGAAGTTACCCCCATCATCAAAATGTCATCCCAATACTACCCCACCCTGAATTCCTCGGTCGATTCTCCTACAAAAATTAAGAAATCACCCCTGTATTTTGAACCACCCTAGGGTATGCTGTCCTTCCTAGTGCTGGAAGGGACGTCGCGTCCCATACCACCCCCCCCCCCCCCCCCTAATGAGAAATATCTCCCGTCCTACTACCCCCCCTATTACCGTTTTCTGTCAACTTTCCACCAGGCAAGTCAAATTTGACACCGGTGGTAAGATTCACTGGACGGGTACATTATAGAGGACAAAGTAGGGGTGAAATTCAGGCTTTGGGGGTAGGGGTACAGCGATTGTGGAGGTATGGTGACTTTGGGTCGACAAGGACGAGGAAGTGGCGGAGGAGAGCAAGTTTAGAGAAGACCCAGTTGAAAGAGAAAGATACACAAGGTAGAAGAGAGAGGAACAGTCTGGTTTCAGATAGATCAGCACTGAGGCCGTTGAGATCTAGAAAGTTTTCAACGTTTGGAAGTCAAAGAAGTGGAAGGGAAAAGTTCGGATTTTGAGGGAGGAAGAATTCGTCGAAAGCGAAGAGAATCAAATCAGGAGGGAAGAGGGAAGAGTAGAGAAAGACCAGCGACACACACAACGAGTCACAAGCCACGTTATCGGCGAGCATCAGGATGGGAGAAGGAATGAGATTTGCAAATGCTCGGGTTGGAAGGAGGGTGCAGCCACACGAGACTCTCGGAAGGGACGTCAGGGACATGCTGGATCAAGACCATCCAAGAAACAAATGGCTGACGATGAGGAAAAGAAGTCAAGAGGCAACTAGTGACCGTGGTACAAGGCACATCACGTCTCATAGCAAGGATCTCCTCAGCCCTGTGGTGAGGACAGAAATGTTGTTCAAGCTCATCTCGGCCCTAACTCATTGCAGTCCTACGAGTCAGGTCGTCAGATCAGCAGGAAGACATCCGACAGGAATAGGATACGCGCGCGGACTAGCATGGGGAGATACGACTATGACTTCGACAAGCCTTGCATCTCAACACGAATCGAGCATCCTGTAAGGCAGTCCTCCTGCTAGGATGTAAAATTCTGACAAGGAGCTGTCAAGATGAGGTCGTCGGTGTCAAGCCCAAGGGCAGGTCAAGGAGGTCGACTGCAGTACTCGTACCGAAGGTCTCGGACTGGCAGCGAAAGCACAGGTTTCCTAGAGCGGGTGAGGTGGACCAGGGCATGGAGAGCGAGCATACTGAACGTTTGTGTGCAGTATGATGGGATCATTTCATCCAAGGGAACCCTATCCAAAGAGTTCTATGGAACGAGGGGAACGCATCTCAAGGGCGTGTTTCCCTTCGGACCGACTGGATTCATTTAGCGCGATTGCCGTTAGCTGCTGGTTTTCAATTTTTGTGCGCCAATTGTTTTTCATCGTGGGTGGAGCACGTCGGAGGATGCTCGGAAGAATCTGTCTTGCCATCGAACTGACGCATGCACGCAACGATCTCAAACGCTTGCTCGGTTGCAATAATGATACATTTCTTTCTGCCAGCACTTTTTTTACATGATGCCTCCCTGCCTGTCTGATCTGATGTACCCAATCGATTTATTCTGCTACCTGGTCAGCATGCTGGGAGCTCTACTATTCCTGACCACCTGCTGCCTGACTATCTGATGCATCCTCTGGCGAAGGCACCTCCTCCGCAGCCTTGCTGCCTTCGTCCTCCTTGGTTTGACTTGCATCCGGTTCCACCTTTTCCTCTGCCTCAGCAGCTTTGCCAGGCTCCTCCTCTGCTTGTGCTGCTGCTGTCGCTGCCTCTTGTTCTCCCTGCCCATCCTGATTGCTTCCTTCTCCTCCCTGCTCATCCGCAAGGGGGGGCTCTGGAACGGCTTCCTCCTCCTTCTGCGCCTCCTCCTGAGCGGCATCAGCGCTCGGATCGGACGCAGCCGGTGTCTCTACCTCTTCGGTTTTGTTTCCTGTTGATTCCTCCCCGGAATTCTTCGCGTCTCCGTACTCTACCGTAGTTTCTTCCTCCGCAGGTTGTTCAACTCCTCCTCCATCTGCTCCTGCCACCGCCTCGCCTTCCCCTCCCTCTCCCCCTTCTGGCCCTCCTCCAACCCCCTCTGCTCCTCCTCCTCCTCTCTCAGCTCCTCCCTCTCCTTTCTCGTGCTCGTGATCATCCTGATTGCTCGGGTCAGCCGGTTGCGTTGTGTCGGCCATGGCTGCCTCCGGAGTAGCAGGAGTTGGTTGCCTCGCATTCTCTCCATCCTCTTCCTGCTCCTGTGCCGACGTGACTCGCACGTGCTGAACATTTTGCTCCTCCTGCTCCTCCCCTGTTTTGACGTCCGATCCCTCCCTGCCTTCACGCGGTCGACCCGCTGCTTCAGCTTCTTTGCCGTCGTACTCATTGTTCCTCTCCGTGGGCTCTGCGCAAGAGGTTGAGGAGAGCTCACAGGGACAGGCAGGCAACTCGCCTGCCTCCTCCTGCCGAGTTCTTGAGGACCCAGCGACACTTGTTTGCTCCCCTCCTCGCTCTTCCTCTGCCGGACGAGCATGACCTGGGCCTCCGCTTCCTGCAGCCTTGTTACTGAACTCACAGCACTTAGCATCGCTCATGCTAGCCAGTCCCGCACACAAGGGAGGAGGAAGAGCTCTGACCTACCGTTGGACATCCTTGTCGAGTCTCCTCCTTGAGACTCATCGAAGTTGAGCAGGTTCGGTCGTACCCTGGGAGCAGGGGAGGAGGCGGCAGAGATTGCCGTGAGTTCTTTCAGCGCGTAAGGAGAGTTGACGTCCCCCCCGATCAGCTTCACAGCATCGTCCTTGTCCCACATCTGAACCGCAAGGCGAAAAGCGGAGGAGGGCTTGAAGGGGACCTGAGCAACTTGGTTCCCTTGAAGGAGGATGAGAACCATGCGAGGAGGAGAGGGCGAAGAGAGGGAGGAGGGTGAGAGCGAGGAAGAGGAGGGAGGGAGGGAGAGGAGGGAGAGTAGGAGGAAGAGGAGAGGGAGAGGGAGGAAGAGGAGGGAGAGTGTATAGGAAGAGTTCACCGTTGATCTTGAAGGAGAGGGAGTCCTCGGCCAACAGGAGCGTAACGATATCCGGGGGGGCTGCCTTGAACCTGGGCCATCCCCTCGTGATCAAACGGCTTCCCCCCTTGTTGACCTCACCTCTTCCCCTCCTCCAGACTCCTCCCTCCGTTTCTGACGGCGCCGAAGTATGTGTCGATGTACGTCACCCGATCGTTGAGACGAGGATCAAACCAGTTCCTGTGTCCCCCACCCGTCAGGCAACAGCAGCACCTACAAGTTCCCTCAGTCTCACTCGCCAGGCTTCACCCTGTCGTCCATGAGCCCAACCCGAGCTTCTCCTCTCTCCAGACGGACCGAAGCCTCGCAGTTGCCATGCACGGACATGTGCTGAAGAGAACGCGGGAGGGTCATTGGCAGGAGGTAGAGGCAGGACTACAACCTCTGCAGTGACGGCCGTAGGGAACCGCCAGTATATCCAGTCCTTGCAGGAACGAGCTACTTCTCCTTCGATGACGATGGCTTCCTCCTCGCTCCTTCCTCCTCCGCCTAGTCCCTTCCCGCCCATCCCATCTCTCACCTTCAGGTGCCTCCCGTCGCGAGCCCATTGCGGCATTGGCGCTTATTTCCGCTCTGAGGCGGAGCGAAATTGGAGCCGGAGGACACGAAACAAACTTTTTTGATGGAGGAAAGGGAGGAGGGGGAGGAGGGACGAGGGAGGAGGAAGCCATCGTCATCGAAGGAGAAGTAGCTCGTTCCTGCAAGGACTGGATATACTGGCGGTTCCCTACGGCCGTCACTGCAGAGGTTGTAGTCCTGCCTC